AAATCTTCTGTCTCCTGCAGTTTAATTCTGAAACAGGAGAATTACCTCTTGCCCACGGGATGAAATTCTCCATTCCTTCCCATAGCATTTGAAGCTCTCAATAACTTGGCCCTGACCTAATATCCTATTCTCATTTCTCATCATTGTTCTGTATCATCATTGTTGTCATCATCACATGAGTAATTAAAATTAACTAGCTTTTATTAAGCATCTATATGTGCCAGGAGTTCTTCTAGGCATTAAAAATGTAATAACATTTCATCTTTTCCACAACCATCTGTGTAGAAACTATTATTCTGTCCATCTCACAGAAGAGGCATATGAGGCACAAAGAAATGACTTGGCCTAAGGTCTCTCCACCAGCATGTGGCTGCACAGTGGAGGCATCAGACACTGAACTTCTTGTGTTCCATGCTTGCCCATGCCCAGCAGCCTTTCCCCAGGCTGTCCCCCCCGGCCTGGACTGCCTCCCAACCCCTCAGCTTCTCTGCAACTGATGGACAGCCACACAAGACCTACCTGCAAGACCTAGCTTAAAAGTCACCTCTGTGGAAACTCTTCTCCAGCTCCCGGGGGAGCAACTTTCTCTAGGCCTCCCCAGCACACCCTGATTATGATGTCAATCAAATCATGCTTCTGGTTTTTGTTCATGTGCCTGTTATTTCCCTCAAAGGAAGAGACTACTCTTTTTAAAAATGTTTGCATTTTTAAGGAAACATTTAATTGACATACAGAGGAACTAAAGGAAATACATTTTGTTCAACTTCATGCCTTTCCTCTTCCTTCCCTCCCACCCCCCCAGGTCTGGTATGGAGCAGAGGTGCAATTAATATTCATTAAATGGAGATGTCTTTCTGGCCCCACTCAGCCTTTTTCCGGACCACCCACTTCCCGACTCTTTGCTGTGTGGGAGAATCCAGACATCTTGTACAGCTGCAGCTCGGTGTGTCCCATTTTGGCTGGAATTCAAGGAGCAATTATAGACAAATAAGTATTATTACAACTGCATCAATCAACATCTCTCTCCTCAAATGCTCTCACAAGGAAACAAGAATGATCTCAGTAAGACGCTGTCTTGTTTAAGCCCAAGTGTCTTTTTTGGTGCCTAGAGAGTGTGTGATCCTTGGAGGGACCCCACCATTGACCGTCTATAACAGAGTCTGTATAGTCTGAGGCTGCACGCCCCTAGAGGCAGACAGTCCTGAATTCAAATCCAGACTGTCACTTCTTCTCTCTGTGAACTTGGACAAGGGTCTTAACTTCACTGAATTTCAATGTTCTCATAGGTCACATGGAATCAATAATACTTCTCGGGGGTGTTGTTGCAATGATTAAATGAAATAGCACATTTAAAGTGTCAAAAGATTTCCCAGGCAGTTAATATATAAAAACTTCCCTTTCCTCTTACTTCTCAATTAATTGTTGTGTTCTCTCCTCTGTATTGAGGGTATGGTTTGTAATCACAAAGCTTTGTATCAGCAGCTAGATGGTAAATCCCAACCTTACCTACAGTTTGAAGCCTCTTGCAGAGCACAGAGGAACCAGTATAGAGAAGCTTTCCTGGAGAATCGAGGCTTGGTCTGGGCACAGGAGGAAGAATCACATTTAACATCAGATTTTCAGATCTTTTGTGGGGCACTAAGGTATCCTGGAGAAAAGGAAAACTGGGAATTAGAAGACCCCAACCACAAAACTCCCCTTGCTTTATGACACCACCTTGGGAACCATCCATGATTTGTCTGCAGGGGAAGTTGCCTGTGTGATGGAGGCCTGGATGCGGGGCTTGGGGACTGCCATGCATGGGCAGGGCAGAACTTTGCTGCTGTAGTAAGAAGAACTTCTTGTCCAGGGCAACTGGCTCATTTGGCAAACTGTTTAGAAAGAAAGCTTATGAAACTTCAGACTCAAGTGACCAGGTGCCTCCATTTGCATGGAGCTTAGGTATGATAGAATTTGGCGTTTTTGGCCAGTCCATTCAATTCAGTTTAATAAAATATCCTGATACCCTCTTTAGGTCAGACATAGTGGTAGCAGTGGGGATCCAGGGAAGGACAAGATAAATTGCCACTCTTGCAGTGCTCACTGTTTCTAGAATGATGTATAGGGAGGTATGAACTAGAAACATGGGGTGCTAACTTCTGCTTAGGACCAAAGGGAGGCCTGACTTGAGACTTGAAGGATGAGGGATTTGTTGCTGTTATGTGTGTCAGGTGAGTATTTTCACTTTAACAGCCAAGAAAGTGTCATGTAATGGTTAAGGACAGTCAGAGATACCTGGGTTCAATCCCAACTCTGTCACTTATTAGCTGTGTTACTGTAGGAAAGTCACTGAATTTTTCTGAGCCTCAGTTTCCTTTTCTGTATAATAGGAATAGTGATAAAAACTTCTACTTGAAATGGTTTTTTGTGAAGATTAAGAGAGACAATGCATATAGCACACTTACACAGTGCCTGTGTAATCATCTAGTAGCTGTTGGTGGTGATAGCCTAATTAATTTACTCTAAGATGCCTGGGAATGGAGGAGTTATCTTAGAGTGAATATACACTTGGTGCTTTATGATCCTCGTCTCTTGGCCTTCTCTCATTTTCTACAAAGCTCATAAATTCCCTCCCCACTCTGCCATCAGGAAAGACTGGTTCTACCAGACTTCAATTCAGTTCTTCATTCATCCTGGTGCCCTTCCTCTTCCAGAACTGGTAGGCAATAGGTTAACAGAGAGAAAACACAAGCACAGCCACATTTCATTGCTAGCTTGGACTTTGGCTTCAAATTTCAATGAAACCACAGTGAGTTGGATTGGACCCTTCTCATGATCAAGTCAACCCTTCATCTCCATAGAGAAATTAAAGACCGAAACCTCCTATTCTTCAGGGTTTGTTTTGTTTTGTTTTGTTTTTTTAATTCTCCTCAGTCTCAGCCATGAGAGGCCTCACTCTGGGGTGAGTGAGTCTGGGTTCCTTATTTAGCAGGTGCTGTGTTCAAATCATCTCACTATGAGTATAGATTTTTCAATTTCCCCATAGTTTTCTATCAGAAAACTTGTTTCCCCCTGATTTTTCTGTCAGGTTGTACTTTATATGTTTTGAAGCTATGTTATTGGGTGTGTACAAGTTCATGGTTACATTAACTTCTTGCTGGATTTTTTAATCATAGAGTGTCCATCCTTATCCCTTTCATGTTTTTCAGCATAAATGCCATATTTCTCTACACTTTTATTTTCATTCTTTTAAAATTTTGTTTCAGGTATGTCTTTTATAAACTACATATAGCTAGATTTAAGTCCAATCTGATAACCCCCAACTTTTAATAAGTGGGTTTAAGCCATTTCCATTTATTAAGATTACTGTTAAATTGGTTTTATTTCTGCAGTCTTAGTTTATATTTCCTACTTTACATGCTTTTCCTTTTTCCCCCTCTTTTGCTGCCTTTGGTTTGATTGTCAGTGTTTTCTTTGTTCTCCCCTTCTTCCTTCTTCCGTTAACATGTATTCTCAGATTTGTTGAGGTTGTTGGCTACCTTTCTGTGATGCTGTCTGTGTGTGTGTGAGTTTTTGGGTTTTTCCTCTCTGTGCTTATCACTCTTAGCTGGCGTGTGTCTGTGTATGTGCATATGTGCTGCTTTTATTCAGCTCCCTGGGCCCCCAGTTCGTATCCAGACCTTATGTTTGTCTGTGTCTGTGTGAAGTTTCATTCTGTATGGATATTGCAAATTTAAGTGACTGAGTTAGCAGATCACAAGTCCTGGTTGCCAGAGTGTCCTATGCCTGTCCAGACCCATCTCAGATAAGCAGTTTAGGATGGGCCACAGCCCCAGACAGGAGAACAGTTTTCCTTAGCTCCGATTCAGGTCTGGGAGCCTGACTTTGGTCTCCTACCTGCATGAGGAGTTCACTGACCCTCCTAGGCTTCAGGAGTTGAACTTGGTTCTTGCTTCAGGTCTGAAAGTACAGTAGGTCTGCAACTTCTCTGTATACCTTTAAAACAGGTCCTGGTCTAGGGCTCTGTGTCCTAAGGGGTCTTAGTTCAGACTGATGACTAGATAGATGTAAAATGACCCTTCCCCAGGCTGACCCTGTCATAATTGTGAAAGAGGCAGAGTTAGTCTTTGTTGCATTCTCTTCCTTATCTTTCTTTCATCGCTCCTCTCCCATCTTTCCCTCTCCTCCCACTACTTCCATCTTGACCTGGATTGTTCTGGTCTGAAAAACCTGTCTCCTCATCTGAGGGTCTTGAGCTTTACCACCCCTTACCCTCTCTGGCACATTTGTGTTGTAGAGAAGGAATCACCAAGGGTGGCATTTCAGGAACAGGTAAAGATGGAGTTTTGGATGATGCCCTGTATGTTTTCCTATAAATCAGAGGGTGTGAGGTTGTATCTGGCAAGGACCACACTTTTTTCTCCTGAGTTCCCTTCAAACCCCACTGAGTCCAAGCCTCTGACATCTGTGGATGGTGCCTCTGATAACCCCACTCCATTGTGAATTTCTTCTCAGGAAGGTTTAAATTAACAATGATTTCATAGGATGTTAGTCAGAACTAAGAGGTAAAACCAAAGTGATCTCTTCTTTCATTTGCCTTCATGTGTCCTATGGAAAGGTCCTCAGGAGGTCAGTTCTGATGGCCAGTGAAGTTGGGCCATCACTTCCCACCTGAGGGTGGAAGACAGCCCTCCTGGGGACTTGGCCAAACTGGACAGAAGGCAGCATGTAAGAAAATTTTCTACTGCCCATTCCATGTCCCGTTGATCCTCACCTCCCAAAGTGTCCAGTCACCATTGTAGAGCTCACATTTCTCATTCCCTGCCACTGGTGCCCTGGCCTGCCAGGTGATGAAGCTTCTGTTTCATTCTAAATAGAGCAGAGGATGTTGAAAATCTTCCATGGCTTCTGGCAGGTGAAGGATCAAAGTGGTGCTTGGCAGCCATAGGCACAATCAAAAAGGTTAAGATCAAAGGGGATGGACTCCATTTGAAAGTGAACTTTCCTGTTCCTCATTACAGTCCTCACCAAGGCTCCTATCGTCCTCTGCTGCAAGGAACAAGGATGAGGAATTTGGGCTGCGGCTGGCTGCTGAAGCCACGTGCTGACAGACAATCCCGGAACAGCTGCAACGTCATTGTAAGCCTTGAAATTAAAATAAAATCCATTGATTTATAAGAGGAAAACAGGGTCAACGCTAGTGGGGTCAGAAGAACCAATTCCGAAAGCCCTTGGGTTGGCCTAAATCCTACATATAAAATGGGTGGTGGAAGTGTTTGCCATGGAAACCATCAGAGGGAAGCTGAGGGAATCCAGGTCTTGGCAGGTGATTGCAGCCGTTGTTGCTGGCACACAGCACACCAGGGGAGATAACTGAGGCCTCAGTAAATAGGAATCTGGAGAGGCCAGAGCCTAGGCTCAATGTATTTTGTAAGGGGAAGGCTTCCTCACTGAGGATGGGGAATCTGCCTTCCAAACTGTATGGTCAGCAACTTTGTGTATTTTGTGTCTGTAGGAGTTTATTTTAGCTCTGTGGTGAAGCTTTTTTTTTTTTTTTTTTTAACAAAACTTTGAATAGGGTGCCCACAAGGTATTTGCTTGCTGGCTTTATTTCCCTCCCTGCCTGGGTATGGAGAGGTGAGCAGCACTTCCCCTGACTCAAGCAAACCCCTTCCTCTCTTTGTGCCTCAATTTCCCCATCACACAATGAGGATGCGAGATTAAATGAGCACTTCCCAGATGCACTTTTTAGAGAAGTGTTTGAACAAAACTTGGGTGAGGTATTGGGCGGATGGGATTTAAGTGTCCTAGTACTAAGATGACTGTGTGCAGGTTAAATTCAAGTTGGCGTGCAAACTGCCTCGGCTTTTGGCTGCGGAGTGAGGGCAAGCTTGACTCCTGTTCCTCACCCCAAATCTGTACAACTTGGCTTGCTTCTTCCCCCCTGGATGTTCTCCAAGGTTCTTCCCAGCTCTGACAAGGAGAGCGCTGCTGTAGGCTATGTGTCCTCAACCCTCAGAGGTGGCTGTGGCATTGCAATTTCATTTTTCCTGGAGGACAAGTTCCCCTGGACTATTGCAGACCGCTGCACAGGCTTTATTATGGAATGGCGCTGGGCTCCTTCTTTCAGAGTGAAAGCCTCCTTGTCCATCTGAGGCAACGTTCTTATTCCTTGAGAGCAAAGCCTTGTCCCTCCCAATGTGCTTCGTATCCGTCTTTTCTCTCTTGATCAATGTGAGTGAGTATTAATCTCACTTAATTCCCTGCAGCTGGCCTTACTTTGCATGGCTGTTTGGGAATAAGGCTCTTTTTTTATTTTTTAAATAGATCTTTATTGGAGTATAATTGCTTCACAATACTGTGTTAGTTTCTGTTGTGCACCAAAGCGAATCAGCCATGGGCATACATGTGTCCCCATATCCCCTCCCTCTTGCGCCTCCCTCCCACCCTCCCTATCCCGCCCCTCTAGGTGGTCACAAAGCACCGAGCTGATCTCCCCGTGCTATGCTGCTGCTTCCCACTAGCTATTTTACGTTCGGTAGTGTATATATGTTGATGCTATTCTCACTTCTCCCCAGCTTCCCCCTCCCACCCTGTGTCCTCAAGTCCATTCTTTATGTCTGCATCTTTATTCCTGCCCTGCAACTAGGTGCATCAGTACCATTTTTTTTTTTTTTAGATTCCATATATATGCGTTAGCATACGGTATTTGTTTTTCTCTTTCTGACCTACTTCACTGTGTATGACAGACTCTAGGTCCATCCACCTCACTACAAATAACTCAATATCGTTTCTTGTTATGGCCGAGTAGTATTCCACTGTATATATGTGCCACATCTTCTTTATCCATTCATCTGTCAATGGACATTTAGGTTGGTAATAAGGTTATTTTTTTCCCCCTTTTCTTTCTTTTTAAGCAAACAGATTTTCTTTTGAGTTCTGGATGAATGTCATTCCAAGTTTTCGGTGGGAAGCAGCTCTCTCTAAAACATTCTCCTGGAGCAGGGCATTAGAGCAGTAAATAGGAAAGAAGCCATTTCCTGTGGTTGGAGAAATGAGTCTGGTTGGAGGCTTCTGTGTTGACAGGAAAGGTTATAGGGACGCAGGGGGTCTGTGTTTCAGGTCTGGATCCATGCTTACTTGCTGTGTGACCTTGGAAAATCCCCTTATCCTCTCTGGGCCACATTCTTGCCATCTGTGGAATCAGGAGTTTGGATTTGATTAATGATTTGCAATACTTAAGAATACTTTGGAATTCTCTCTTAAATTTAAATCTATAGAAACCCAATATGAATCATGTGAAATCGCTATAGGCTATATCATGTGGTTTGGTTCAGGCTTTCTCAACCTCCACACTATTGACCTTGGGGGAGGATAATTGGGTGAGGCTGTCTTGCAGGTTGGATAGCAGCATCCCTGGCCTCTACTCACCGGATGCCAGTAGCACTCCTCAAGTTGTGACCACCAAAAACCTCTTCAGATATTTTCACATGTCCCCTGGGGAGAGGGGCAGAATTGCCCCTGGTTGAGACCCACTGCTTTAATCTAATAAAACAATTAAAAAGTGAGAGTCTCTGTTGAAGGGGAATGGGAGGGAGTGTGACATAGATCCATTCTCTGTGGCCCCAGAGGCTCTTCTGACACACCAGTGTTTCAGGAGACACAGTTTAAAAACTTACAGACTCAGAGTCCTGATTGTCTCTTAGCTCAAAACCACTATGTGAGTTCAGGGTCCCCTTTCCAAGTCAGATTTGTAATTGGAAAGGCAGAGGAGGGGGCTAGTCAGCAACTTTCTCAGTGCTCCCAGCTCCCATTTCATAAGGATGTGTAGCAGTACAAGCTGCTTTTTCTAGGCATCCTCATTTGGACACCTTCTCCAGGAAACCTTCCATCATAATGCCAACGAAAGAACATACTCTCAACTCCTGTATCTGTTCTGAAAAGGACCTGTCTATTCTGTTCCACCTAACTGAGCTGTCTTTTCCCTACAACAGGCTCAGGCGCTCAGGCTCTTTGAGATGCTGGCATCTGGACCTAGGGCGGGTACTTGAGTATGAGGATCTTCAGAATGGCAGGCCAAGCCTGTTCTGTGCTTGACCAGCCTTGGGGCTTGGCAGGAAGTAAATCTGGTGTATTTGGATCCACACTGAGTCATATGAGGTGCCTCCAAGGCCCTCACCACAGAACCTCCGTCTCAGCCTTCATCTGGTTCTGTCACACCGGTTATGGGACCTTGGTCAAACCTCTACTTCCTCATTTACAAAATGCAGCCATTAAGATGTCCTTATAGGATGGCTGAGAAGAGGAAATTAGATTACCTACTTAAGTACCTACACAGTGCCAGGTGCACAGTGTTCTCTTGGAACGTGGTTATGAGTGTGACGATTTCAATGTTGGCACCCCGCCCCCAGTCTCCTTGCTCAGACCCTCTTCCCAGGAAGCCCCCAGCCTCTCCCATGGTGGTGGAGACCTGGCTAGACTGGGGCAGGGGCTCCTGGGCCCTGGGTACCCCCCAAGGACATATCTCATTATGAGGGTAAAACCTTTCCTCCATAATTAGAGATGAGGCTTCAGAGAACTTCCCACTGAATTTCAATTTGCTGGTCTATTGAAACAACCTCCTGGGGTTATACATTCATTCCACTGATTTTTTTTTTTTTGAGTGTTTACCATGAGCCATTATACTTTATTTGGAGGCTTCTTCCTTTATTCTCAAGTGTTATTTGCCATTATTTTGCTTCAATTATGTCTTTCCCCAAATAAAAATAACCATTTTTTTCTGATTATAAAAATACTACCTGCTCATTACAAATAAAGTTTCAAACAATACAGAAAAGTATGAATAAAAACTACTCCAATTCCTGTTTTGAAGATCTACCCACTTTCAACATCTTGTGGCCCACCTTTCAGAGTTCCTGGATGTATCTACACATGATTTTACATGCATGCACTCAGGAAATATCCACTATTTGCTTTTATATTTTTATTGAAGTATAACCTATAACATGTATGTGGAAAAGTGCACAAATCCTAAGTATACAAATCAAACTTTGACAAATTTTTGCTCATGCAACCACATCACACAGATCAAAATATAGAGCATCCCTAGCACCCCAGAAGCTTTGCAGTCATTGCCCATCTCACCAAGGCAACCACTATTCTGACTTCTGCCGCCATAGATTGATTAGCTTGACTGTATTTGAACTTTACATCATGGGACTGCTGCAGTGTGTAATCTTTTGTGTCTGACTTTTTAAGTTTGACATTGGGAGAGATTTATTTCGTGGCATATAGTAGCAGTTCACTCTTCTTATTGCTGTATGGTATTCCATTGTATGGCTAGACCACATTTATTTATCCTACTAATACATTTATTTATTCTACTGATGTCAGAATTTTGAGTTGATTTCAGCTTTTTACTTTTACAAATAATGCTGCTATGCACAGTAAATTAACTTTCTAAAGCCTAATGGTAAAGGCACATTATCATCTGTAAGTACCTCTTAAACCAAAAGGAAACATGGAGGTAACTACCCCATGCTGGGTCTTGATTCCCCTGTTGTACATTGAGAGGCTCAGAGGAAATGCTCTGTTAGGATCCTTCCATCAGGGAAATGAGAGGATTCTGGGAGCGCATCACTACATCCAAGACCTGCCTGGTCCCTCTTCAGTTTAAGGCAGATGTATTAGTCACGGTTCTCCAAAGAAACAGAAACAATAGGATAGATATAGAGAGATATATAAGAGGAGAGTAATTGTAAGAATTGGTTCACATGGTTATGGAGGACAAGAAGTCCCACGATCTGCTGTCTGCTGGTGGTGTAATTCAGTCTGGGTCTGAAGGTCTGAGAACCAGGGGAGCTGATGGCATAAGTCCCAGTTCCAGTCCAAAGGCCAGAAGCTCAGATGTCTGAGGGCAAGAGAAAATGGATGTCTTAGCTCATACAAAAAGTAAATTTGACCTTTCTCCACTTCTAAGATGCCCACCCACACTGGTGAGGGTGATCATCTCTACTGAGTCTCCCGATGCATATGCTAATCTCTTCCAGAAACACCCTCACAGACACACCCAGAAATAATGTCTTACCAGCTTATCTGGGTATCCGTTAGCCCAGTCAAGCTGACACGTAAAATTAATC